AACCCCTTGGGAAATGATTAAACCATTAGAAATATGAACTGATGATGTTCAGGAATTAAATAATTCAATAATATTAAATTAAAAATATTAAAGGTAGCTGGGTGCAGTGGCTGACACTTACTTTGGGAGCCAGCACTTTGGCTCAGCACTTTGGCTCCCAGCACTTTGGGAGGCCAAGGCAGGTGGACTGCTTGAGCCCAAGAATTCAAGACCAGCCCATGCAACATGGCGAAACTGTCTCTACAGAAACACATAAATTAGCTAGGTATGGTGTATGTTCCTATAGTCCCAGCTACTCAGGGGGCTGAAATGGGAAATCACTCGAGCCCGGGAGGTCAAGGCTCTGGTTGGCCGAGATCCCGCCACTGCACTCTAGCCTGGGTGACAAAGTGAGACTCTATCTCAAAAACAACAACAACAACAACAAAAAGGTAATTGCTAATGACTTTTTAAGGTGTGACAATGAATGCTAATATGGTAATGTTTAAAGAAGATAAAGATTATTTATGAAAGATCTATATTGGATTATTTCTTGATGAAATAATATGATATCTGGAATTTGTTTCAAAATTGGGAGGAAAGTGGGAAAGAATATGTGTATGAATGAGGCAAAATTAGCCAGTCATTGGTTGCTGGGGGCCTTAATGGGCCTACAGAAATTAATTATACCATTCTGTCTACTTTTACATGTCCCTGAAACTGCCCACATTCAAGTGTTTTTAAAAAGCAACCAAATAGACTGGGCGCAGTCTCTCACGCCTGTAATCCCAACACTTTGAGGCCAAGGTGGGTGGATCACTATGTCAGAGTTCAAGACCAGCCTGGCCAAGATGGTGAAACCCTGTCTCTACTAAAAATGCGTGGTGGTGGGCACCTGTACTCCCAGCTACTCCGGAGGCTGAGGCAGAGAACTGCTTGAATCCGGTAGGCGGAGGTTGCAGTGAGCCAAGATCACGCCACTGCACTGTAGCCTGGGTGACAGAGCGAGACTCCGTCTCAAAAAAAAAACTAAATTAAAAAAAGCAACCAAATATAGCAATATATTAAGATTTGACAAAGGTAAGCCTTGGAAACCTTGTGTTTACTGCATTATTCTCTACCCTGTTAAGTGCTTAAAATATTTTACTAAAAAAATACAAACATGAGCACAATCAGAGAGATAGTAAGGAGATAACAGAAATCATCATACTTGCCTTACAAGGATTTACAAAGATCAAACAGGATATGTGAAAGCATTCTATAAATAAAAAGTGCTTTGAAAGGCAAATTTTACTAATGTAATTTTCAAACCTAGGCCATGAAACAAGAATTCCAAACAAGTCAACATCCTTTAAAAACAGTGGGTCAGATAAACTCTCAAAATGGAAAACAACTCAGTATACACACATGAGAAGTGAAAGTTCACATTTCAGAAGACTCACTAGTATTTAATATCTGTCTAGATATGGTATAACAGTATACCCTGTAAACATCAAACACGTCTCAACACCTCAATCATACCAACAACAGCAACTGATTTTATTTCATCAGAAGAAAGATACATACCATTTGGCATCTCAAATTAATTTTTTTCCAAATACCGTTAACAAATAAATGGTATCATGAGGTCCTGGATAAGGCATAAAATTACCCAACCTTTAAGAAATGATGACTACAGGGAAGTATGTCAAAGCTCGACTTGTTAACCCAACAGAGAGGAACAAAAATACGGTCAAAACAAGCAAAACCTATCACATTAAGACACATCATAAATCCAATGTGGAAAAAAAATCCCTCATCTTAACAGAGCCTTAGTATACTAACTGGCCACGTTTTCAGCACTCAGTAAGAACTGGCCAAAGTGACTGATGTCGTGGGCAACATTCCACATTGGGTGTACTTGGGAATACCTACTGTGATCATAACTATTCAATGTTAGGTGTTCCACCTACAGAACTCAATGCTGAATAATGTCTCTACATTTCACGTACCTTGTAATTCTGGTGTGACTCGAAGTTGGACAGTGGAGTGTTACATGCCGTAGAGAAGGGCATGACTTTCACACCTCTATAAACAAGGCCTTTATCATAGAGTTGTTTGAAGACCCACCTGGTAAGAGATGGAGTTTCACAATTACATAACCAAAATTCTCTTTCTGAAAAAGCAATCACTTACACCATTTTCTGTTTGGAGTTTCTGGCTGCCAAATAAGTGAAAAAACAATGTCTTCCATTGGGAGACCGGTTGGTAAATTATAACAGATCAATATAGTAAGACATCAGGTAGACATTAAAATGCTAATATCTACTGATATCAAATGATGTTTAAGACATAACGTTAACTAAGAGAAGCAATTGGCAGGCTGGGCGCAGGGGCTCACGTCTGTAATCCCAGCACTTTGAGAGGTCGAGGTGGATCACCTAGGTCAGAAGTTCGAGACCAGCCTGGCCAACAACGTGAAACCCCATCTCTACTAAAAATACAAAAATTAGCCAAGCATGGTGGTGGGTGCCTGTAATCCCAGCTACTCAGGAGGCTGAAGCAGCAGAATCGCTTGAACCTGAGAGGCAGAGGTCACAGTGAGACAAGACTGCGCCACTGCCCTCCAGCCTGGGTAACTGAGCGAGACTCAGTCTCAAAAAAATAACA